CCCCCCCCCCCCCCCCCCCCCCCCCCCGATCCAAGTTGTACCCAACCGCAGGCGCTAGAACATCTGAAATGCAAACCATGGTATAGTCTATCCTTTACCTTGGGTGAGCCATCAGCCTTAGGTCGTGCGGCCCAAGTCTCTGACGCACCTGTTCTTCGGGGGTATTCTTCTTACTATAAAAACCTGCCCATGGCTGGACGTGTTTTTTCACATACATACATGGGATATGGTATGAGTGTTCTTGTAGTGGAATCCTCATGTCAATGATTTTGCGATTTGACATTTTACTCGTCGCACATATAGGGTGTATCCAAATCCTAGTTAACGCTTTCAAGTCTTCGCAGGGCTCTAGGGGAACTCTAACACACGCGCGCGCCCTTGGTTGCCATTTTCGATATTGTCGCCCCGTTCCAGGGACCTTGAGTTTGCCCGTTCGCATTGACTGACATAATTTTCATTGGTACGGCTGTTAGCACTGTCGCCGCCAGTAAGTAAACTACACAGGTGATGAGTAACAGGTAATGCATCGCGAACGCATCCATCTATGCATGCATACGTACACGGTTTGAGGCGTAGCGCCTGAACTCAAAGAATGAATGATAGCAGCCGAAGAAAATAATACAATTCATGTTCACTCCGTCGCTCATACACAACTCGAAGTAGGGCTCAAAATCGAATCAAATCGAATCAAGTCGAATGTTCCGTAAGTCTAAGAATGGTACGGAGATCACAGCCTTACCTTGGTGTATTGCCTAAGTATCTTCCTTGACCCTTCCTTGTCGTGTCCGTCGAGGTTGACCCTGTCATACTTCCAGAGGGGATGGACGTGGCGTCAATGGTGGAGGCATTCTTTGCTACATATCAACATGGGGTTCGTTGTGTAAACGTTGGAGGCTCCGCTGTGAACTGGCGCGGCCACGCGAATGGATGTCGGCCGTGCTAGAGAAACACGTGAGAAAGATGTGTACAACAATAATCATAGTCTACAAGGAGGTGATCTATCGTCGTAGGTAGTTCGAACAAAATCTTGACCCTTTGTATTGTGAAACGGACAATAATTGAATTGGTTCCGCCCGACCAGCAGACAATGTTGTGGAACGGGATAACTATGTACAAAGATCTGTGAGGCGGTACAGTAGTACCATCTTAAAGGCGTGGCGGTTCAGTTGCCTGGGGTCCTGGAGAGGTGGGTCTCAAGCTTCATATTTTCACCGCGTTTGTATCACGCGTTGGAGGTGTATGTGTGTCGCCTGACTCACGTGTAAGGGTTGATCTTGACGACGTATGGTATGCCCACACATTGCACCATTTACGCCGCGAAAAGATCGAACATGTTCGCGTCCTCGCGGATCCCAGATGTTTGACTGACGGGCCTACATGTGTGTTCACCTCTCCAACCCTGGCCCACCAGGACGATTTAGGTGGCCTTTGAGGACGGTGCACAAAGCGCAGGTTGGCCGAAACGATCGGCAACTATCATTCATCATTGTGTGCCCTTGATGCCGCGGTGATCTTGTCAAAACTTGAGCCTCCTATTCTTGAAAGGCGTGTCTGTTGTCGAATTTCAGTCCCGTTCTGCTCTCATAGGAGGGACGTAGGGGACGCTTGATAACCCTATGGTGGCGAAGGGGCCACGCAAACGCTTTCCAGTTTCCAGCAGCCGCGGTTTCCTTGGGCAAGGTCATCACCCGACAGTCAAACGGCTCATGAGAATGTTGATCAGAAAGCACCTTCGACAGCGGTTAAATTGCGCGTTGGGATATGAAACACTTGTATTACCGCAAATGCGACCTGACCCCATACATGTGGTTGCGCCAGTTCCTTAGGAAACTGACAAACTTGCACGCGGCATGCCAGAAACTAAACCGACAATCCTCTCTGAAAAAACCAACAAGTGGTGCCAATCGAGGGGCGCACTCCCAACGGGAAAACCGACCAGACTACCTTGGGAAGTCACTCAGCAGTTATAGAAAGAGAAGAGTACAATCCTTACTTGTTCTGTCGTAAGTGGGACCCGAAGTGGGACGTGCACGTGACATTCGACCCGCCAACCGATTGGTGCATGCACGAGGCCGGTTGGCTCTTTCCCTCTTTGGCGCAACGAAGATGCTAGAGTCCAACCCGAGGCGAAGAAGGAAAATAAATGTCATTTGATACACACACGAACCGAAGTAGCGTTGTTGCAAGTCCACCAACAACCAACCGCGGCGGATATTAGAAATCGCTCCATCAAAGTGCACGCAGACGGCGACGCGACACATTGGAATCAGTCGAGCTGCAATAAGACCCAAAATGAAAGGCTGAGGGGGGTATCATTCCAGAGTGTACTTCTTCCTTCAGGTGCTTCCAAAAAGACGGAAGGCGTGATACAACCTCGAAGAGCGATCCCCATTTCGCCACTGAAAAAAATCCAGGTGAACAAAAACGAAAACAAATCAAGACGAGGAACACAATCGGGTCCCTCGCCCACTATTACCGTGGAATCGCAGCATCTTTTTATTATTTTTCGTAGTATGACACAACGAATCCATCTCGATCCATATCAATTGAAAAAGAGTCTCCGGATAGATTGCCAATGTATTCATAGCGTCAGCGGGAACTACCTGTATTTCTACGGTTTCCCGAGCAGCACACAACGACATCTCTCCCTTTTGCATCGAAGTGACAGGCAGGCACAACGAAACGATGAATCACCGAAAGGGGGGGAAACACCACTGATGGATGGATCCTGTTACCAAAATCCAACCTGAGCTGGTGCAAAGCGTATTTCTCTGGATGATCCCAATTCCATCCAAGCAGATCAACGCTTACACTGCCGGAGACACATGGCCACTTACAAAACAAATCTACAGGTTTTTTAGGGTCAGTTCGAACCTTCGCCTGCAGAATATGTACAACCTGGCTAATCGATCTCAATACGTCAGTGTAGAAAAAAACGCGCGAACTTACTGGCAGACGGTAGAACCAAGACCAACTTCTTTCGCCATCACTAAACTGCAAAAGTAGTCGAACGCTGGAGGTATCTGTACCTTCCAAGCACTCAGCCCCCACCAATGGCAAGACACGCCGCCTGCATTGCATCGAACCCCAAGCGTTCACATAGCAAGCAGCTGACGAGCACCGAACCGCAGAGATAACCCGTTCGCGTGAATTGAGTACGCTCTGCGCTCTGGCCCAATCCTAGCACCAACGAAATACATACCGGTGGTACTGCTGTACAGTCGAACATTAAAAAACTACAAAACCTCCACAAAATACGCCGTCACAGCTTCAATACTTACATGGTGCAAACAGGTTTTGAGTCTCCCCTGGTCTCCCGCTTCTTGCTTCGGTAAAACAGCAAGCAAAGATGCACACACAGCGGCCCGTTTCGTCGTCGTGCTCCCAGCGGCGAATGAACCAACGCCGTCACAAAAGCTCCGCAAAACGCCACAAAAGTTTTCCACAACAACGAAAACTGCTGCTGTCCCTTTACGCTTGACCCGGCCGTACACGCAGACACCGGAGACCTGGTAGGGTGTTCACAAACCTCCTACAACAATGCTGCCGCCTGGTCGGTGTTTTCATTCCTTGCTCAAGGTCGTGGCAACAATGCTGCCGCCCGGTCGGTGTTTTCATTCCTTGCTCAAGGTCGTGGCCAAAGAGGGAGAGAGAGGGAGAGGGAGAGAAATAGAGCAACAAAGTTCACACGCGAAAATCGTCCATAGTCGTTCTTACAACAAAAGTCGCCGTAGCCCTGTCATGACACACACACCCGAACCGCCGAATGACAACGTAGCATCCAAACAAACTGCTGCCTGCTGACTTTCACAAACGCCTGTTAAACTTTCAGACGCGCTCTTCGCTCTCTTTCCGTCTCTCTCTCTCTCTCTCTGACCAGCTTAGCTAAGCGACGACCAACTACTTTGAACGCCTATCGAAATTCAGAGTGTGAGAGGCATGGTCTCGTTCTCCATCTGCTCGACGGGGCAAGTCGGGCACTTAAACCTCGATCCATTTCTCGCGAGGCGGCTGACGCTCGATCGGAGCACCACATGCCCGCACTTGAGCAGGACCGGTGGGTTGTCCAGGGTGCTGCGATGAGCACATTTTTTTAAGCATTTCGCGCGGTGTGATGAGGAAAAAACATCATTAGAGAGAGCATGTCGAAAACATTGGGGCGACCGGGGGCAAGGGTGGTAGTAACGCCACATGGGCCAACTCGTTTCTTCGTGTCTCACACAACGAGTAAAAGAAGTGGCAAAATCCCTCCCGCGCGCGCTCTAACGCGTTCTACACTAGGGCCACGGTGAGCGGATGCAAGAAGACCTGTGGTGGAAATGCTTACGCTCAATAGTATCAGCGCAGCCCTCGCCACCAGACAAATATATCATGCGAGCGCCGTCAAGGCCACGCGGAAATACTCCATAACAATGCCACAAGTACAACCACACACCACTATACTACAGCCACAGCCACCACGGCCACCGCCGTAGGCAACCAACCAGCGTTTCCACCGCACCCCACAACGCACCACCGCACCACCGACCAATACACAAAAAAACGAACACAACAACAACAACAAACGACAACGACATACCTTGGCTCTCTCGAGACCGGGCAGGAGAACATGCTGTGGTAGCGCAAGCCCGGCGGAAGGGGCACCTCCAGCGGCAGCTCCTGCATCCCGTTCCACTCCTGGTTGCTTCCCCGCACCACCGCCGCCATCTTCACAAGGGTCGGCAGGGCCAGGATCCCAGCCTGAGAGATGACCAACGAAGCAGCAGGGGCAGCAAGAAACAAACTTGAATGTGAGGCCGCCATGCGGTGGTGGTGGTGGGTGGTGTGTTTGAACCCGTTGGTGGGGGCGAGCGTGTATGCTCAGGCGGGGAGGAGGAAGAAAAAAAAAGAGAGAGGCGCGCGAGGAGGGATGGTTAAGGATAAGAGCAGGCGGCGCTATGTTTTGCGATCTGTCGTGCAGTGCCGCCGGCGTGCCATGATTCGAAGCACGACGTCAGTACCGCTGTGTCAGGGATAAACCGCCAGGAGGGAGGCTGGAGAAAGAGTTAACAGGTGTTCATAGCAACGGACGCATTTTTTTACCTTCCTTACAAAGAGCATAACAAATCCATCTCTTCCACAGATAAGAGTCCGTGGCAGGTCAGCAATGAATTAACAGTGTTGTACGGTGACCAACTTACATTTCTAAGGTTTCCCGAGCAGCACCACAGCGACATTTGTGTGTGTTTTCCTCACCCGTCCGTACTGCTGTGTCAGGGATACATGGCCGGGATGGAGGTGGCAAAAAAGAGTTGGCGGGTGTTCAAAGCAGAGGAGGCATTTTTTTATTTTTTGCCTTACCCGGAAAGCGACGGAGAGGATGCTCTCCCGCGACAGCCCGGACACCCGGCTGGCGTCGACCGCCACCGACTCCTTCACGCGAGTCCACAGCTCCAGGGAGAGGAGGTGGCTGTAAGGCGAAGCTTCCAGGTTTCCCGACCACAGGAGGCTCCCCATGAGCTCCTGGCAGGGTAAGATCGTTTCCAAACGGCGGCGAGCGGTCGAACCCAGCGTCGTGGACACGTGTGGGGGAACGTGAAGGTGATTTAGTTGCGTGATTTTTTCTATCGTGAGACTTGAGCAGCGTCGGAGAGGGGTCGTCGCCGAAGGATTCACACGACTATTGCCGAATCCCGGGAGTCAACGCAAACGAGAAATGCGTTGGAGCGCGAAGGTTACCAACAGAAGTAGCGAACGTACCAAAATACCGGTCAACGACGATAAAAGAATACTACCACGTTAAAACTCGTGTTGTATGACCAGTCCGCTGAGCGTGGTCAGATGCTCTTGACAATCTGCTTCGGCTTGAACACAGCTAAAGCTCTGAACGGCACAACTATCCGTAAATCCATCGCTGATCTCCTTCTCCTGTCGTAGCGGCAGCCACGTCGGAGGGGAGGGTCATCACCTGCAACTCCCGCATGTGGCGCCCCGCCACGGGCATCACTCGCTCCCTTGCATACATCATCGCTTCTCGTCTTTTCCCCGGGTCGGCGCTCTGGTACCAAGCAGCAAAACGTTTGAGAGAGCTCAGCCCGTCGTCAAAACAATTAACCAGTGTGCATTTCACTCAAAGAAATTTCCTTGCCAAGGAACACAACGGGGCAGGATTCAACGGAGGCCTCAGGAGGAAAAACACGGCCAGAGAAACAAAACAACCCCAAAGTTGACGTAAGTCAGAACCCAAGCAAGTTATAACGCACACGCAAGCGGCCCAAGTGACTCAGCTACCAGAACACCGAAGTAGCCGAGACGGGAGGTCGATGCATATATTTTTTTTATCTCTGTCGACAACCGTTTCGTGCGAAGATACTACGGCAGAGTAAAATTTCAACACAATAACAATTGATGAGGCCAACGATACCGGCAGGAAAGCGTGAAGCTCTCAATCTCAACAAGATCTACTGGGTGATGGAGCATGCAACACCGAGCCGGGGGGTAGCAGAAATGACCAAACTCCCGACCCGCCGTCCCTCCCTCCCACCCGTCCCTCCCACCCGTCCCTCTCAGTTTCAACCAAAACTGGGCCCTTTGTTAACGAGGAAAGAACACCCCTGACGTTGGACCAAGGTAAACGTCTACGCCTCTGAAACTGAGCGGCCTTCCTCCCCTTCCCGCCGAACCGAAATATCGAAGGAAACGCGCGCCCGAACGCGGAAGGTATGTGCGTTGCCACGGGAGTGGAGGGGGATCCGTTTCGAGAGGCACACCCAGCAGTCAGTGACCGAAACCAGCAAACTACCAAGTCAACCAAAGCAATGGTCGCACCACCGCCACCTCCGTACCCACAACCACGGACACATGAAGGAAGCAACACCCGAGCCACGCCGTCGTATCGTTGCGCGTACAGCAGGACACACACCGAACCTAACTCGCCTCCAAGAAACGGAGGAAACGCAATCGGGCAAGCTGGAACTCCAACGAGCTCCCCACCCTCTCCAAAGCTTTCCGTCGCTTCTCGAACCACCTGGGACGGCGTGCGGGCGAGAGTAGAAATCAAATTGTTACATGTTGCACAGGTATAAGGGGGGGGAGGCAAGCAGGTTAGTCCCAACCGTATGACCACTCAACACGCCGACACGCCCGAAGTTTATAGCCGCCGCCCCCCTCCCCCCCCCCCGCGCGCGCGCGCCTTTTCGCTTGATATTTCCATCACCACGATGGCGTCGTGAACCCCAAGCCTTCGTGCTCCGCCGGTCGCGTCGTGTCATCCGAAGAGGAGTTGAATATCACGCCGTGAATAGGAACAATTTCCAACACTTGGGGTATGATAGGGAATGATAACACATCGATCACCTACGAATTCCCGTACCCGCGGACCCTAGCCATGATTCCAACCACCGCGCAAGCAGGGCTTGTGCCAAAGCCATCATGTACTTGTTATCGCCTGCCGTCGTCTGTTGGTGTAAAACAAAGGGCATGGCATACGGCACGCACCTCTCGGCAGGGACGAGGTTGTGCTTGTCGAGGGCGTCGAGCACCCCGTGGATCTCTACCAGATGCGAGGTAGTCTCCGCCGGGATCGATGCCGCCGAGTCCTACCAAAAAAAATAAAAAACGAAACAGGAATCACACGAGAGAATACGACCACGCGCGGACGAAAAAAACACAGCCATTGTGGGATGTTGCCGTGCTTCCCTAGGCAGAGCATCGGCGCCCTAACTTGCCGAACGGCTCAAAAAAACGAAAAAGGCTTCGGAGGACATGTATGCGTGTGCTTTGTGTAGAAGTGAACATGCAGCAGCGCGCGACGGTCGATAGTGCCCGCCCTGCTTAGCATGGTGTTGTTGGTACTGCTGCGGGTTGCTTGCGAATCTTGCTGGCGAGGGACACCTCAGCACCACAAACCGAACCCGACCCAACTCCACCACCAACAGGGGCGCGGCCAAACCTACTCCAACCGTGCAAGTAGAAGTAGAAACCTTTTTCGGTGGAAGAAGAACGCCCTTCCCCAGACGGCAAATAAATAAAAAGAAACGTGTCGTTACCCCCCCCCCTCGAACACCCCTCTCGCTCTCTCCCACCACGACCCCAACCCATCCAACAAGCTACAGGGGCTCCGCGGAAACTACAACCACACGCACACCCCACTCACATCCATGACGCCCCGTCACGGGGTCCCAGATAATGGTAGCCTTTGGAACAAATTCCTGTTTTCCACTGCACTGAGACTAACGTCTTTTTACTGGCCAGCCGGTTAGCGCGGCCGATGCCAACTAAGAAAAAAAAAAAAACACACACACACACACACACACACACACCTATGCAGAGAGAGAGTCACGTTGGCTTTCGCATATTGGGCATTGCGCATTTTTCGAATCTTGGCCACCTTCCACCAGGGACATTAATTTTACCCGCTGACACTGACGTCTTTTCATTGGCCAACCGGTTAGCGCGGTCGATGCCAACTAAGAAATAAAATAAAATATAAACACACACACACTATTTATTGATCAGTTTCCACCACGGCCAGTAGGTTGGGATCTCGGTAGTAGTGCAGATAGAAACCACCAGGATGGCAATGCGGGGAATTCGTTTGGCAGCGATGAAGGGGGAGGAGAGGGAACGGGAGGAGGAAAAGACAGAGACCAAAACAACAGTCGAGGAGGGAATCATCGCGTGGAAGAGAGCAAGGGCTTCGAGCCGGATGACCTTCCCTACCACAAACGACGCAGGGCCAGAGAAGAAAATGTCGAAAAGTTGCTGTCAAAACGACAATGAGAACGAATGAGTTGAAAGCATGGAGGATGATGGTGAAGCACTCCAAAACGAGCTCGAGTGCAAGGTAGCAGCCTCATAGACGTGTGCGGTTTTCTTTGGTTGCCACCGTGTCTGTCTTTGATCAGGAGAATAGGTTAGCCTCCCCCATGCCGCCCCCCTCACGGGGTCCTAGTTAATTGCATGTAGAAGTGTTTAGTACTTTCAACCGCACTGAGACTGACGTCTTTTCATTGGTCAGCCGGGTAGCGCGGTCGCTGCCAAAAATAAAACACACACACACACAAAAACACACCTCCGAAAACTTCGCCGCCGCACGGAAGGCTCCCCTGCGATAGAGATGTGTGATGATGGCGGTGTGCAGGGCTTTCTCGTTGAGCGCGGGTGTTCTCCGCACGCTCTCGACGTTGCCGCCGAATTGCTAAAAGACCGACGCCGGGTGGGTGGGTGGGGGTTGGGAGGAACGTTATTACAAGCTCATGACACGAAGGGGGGATCAACGTTTCAGCTGTATCCTGCAGTCGGTCAAATCTTTTGGCTGCTTGCAAGGACGCACGCGAAAGTTTTGCAAGAACGGAAAAACGTAGGGCTGCTCTACATGTTGTCAACGTTAGACCCTGCCTTTCACGTTAATTAGTGCCACGGTTGGGGGTGCGGGGGCCAGGATTTTCAACGCGAAGGGGGGGGTGGGGGATATGAGGCCAGGGAGGAAGAGGCAAAGCAACAGCGGGGTGCTTTGCATTGAGTCTCCTCAACGCTAGCGTTGAACGGCATGCGTGATCTCGAGCGTCGGTTTTGAACCATACGAATTCGATAGCATCGTTCGTACAAATTCTTGAGTAGGTTCCTTGAGCACCCGCTATCCCCAAATGCCACAACATGCAACACTGCTGTCTGTGCACAAGCTGATCATGAACCGTGGACATGCGTAGACCCGCGGGACAAAGAGTTGACACACGAGCGGGCGGGGAACGAGGACGACCCCATGCTGAGAGATGGTAAATAGATACTGAAACGACGGCCACAAACCAGCGAGCGCCTTCGGTGTCGCTATCACCACTTCACCTTCTCTGCCGCCTTGGCCAGCTTTGAGATCGTTGCGTGGAAGTTTTTGTGCTCCGACCCCACTGCGTCCAGCGTCTTCAATCCCGCTACGTCGCTCGCGAGCTCCGACAGGATCCCCGCAACACCAACACCACTTCCACCCCCCTCACCCTCTAAATCCATCGCCTGGGCCCCTCCTTGTTTTCCGCCTGTACCCCCCCCCCTTGTCGCCGTCGCCGCCGCCTTCATCGATCTCGGCGGAGACTTGCAAGCCGCGCCCTTGCCCTTGGACGGCGACCTTGTCGGAGACTTGGCGGTGGCAGGTTTTGCCGCCGATCTCGTCGGAGACTTAGCCCCCGCTCGCAACCCCTCGCTTGAGGCTGCCCCCGCTCCTCCTCCCGCCGCTTCCAGCTGTTTCTTGTGCTTGTCGAGCTCTCGCTTGGCCCTCGCAACACGGGCGTGCAGGGCGTCTATCGCCTTGGTGGTCACCCTAAGATTGCTAGCCTGCCTGGCCTCCGCCTTGTTCAGCTCGGGGCTGAGGGCGGGAGCACCGCCGCCGCCTTGGTTCGACATGACTCCACTGCTGAATATTTGTTGGATGGGTGGCCGTGCTACAGCTGCTGCTGCTGCTGCTGCTGCTGCTGCTGGCGCGGTGCTCTTCTACTGCCGGCGCAGACCGTTCTTTCGCGCTCACGCCGCCGCCAGATGCTTCCGTCCGTCTCTCCAACCGCTCTCACCACGCACCACGCACAGCAGTACCCCAACAACCTGTAGAACACGAAAACATCAGGGTGAGGTCAGTTGCCTCGGACAAAATAGTACTGGATAGACACAACCCGTGAGGACTAACAACATACCCAAAAGCTGCCGAATCAATCGTGTGCTCGCATGACCGGGTGCGTGCAGTCGTACGGCACGCCAGTGATGCTGAATTTCCCTTAACATCAGAGAGCAAGCCGGCGCAGTAACATACCTGAAAAGACGAGCAGGTAATTGTGCATACACCGTGCCTACAAGACATACAGCGGGTATTCTCGTGAGCTACAACATACGGATGGAATCCCATTGTTCACAGCAGCGGGAAAAAAAAGCGGGTGTCGATGCTGGTGTATTGGAAAGGGAAAACTTAAAACCTCCCGCCCGGACCCCGTCCTACGTGCCAACGACATACATAAGTGGTATGTGTTCAATAGATTGAGGGTGGTGGACCGAGCGAGCGTCAACACATACACACGAAATCTCTGTACAAGTATGCGGAAATGCTTTTGTTTCCTGCACTGGATGGTGTCGCGCTGGGAGTGGAGAGTCTTTTTTGGAAACAAGTGAAAATCTACTACCTTTTCACCAGCGAGCCTGTTTCGATGGGCAACCCGTGTGTGTTTCCGTCAGGAAGCTTCAAAGGAAAAATCGTATCTACGGTCCCACGGTACATGAGACTAAATAGGTACCCTACATACAGCAGCCACGACGGATGACTTCTTGTTTCTCTTCAACAATTCCTTGATATTTCACGATTTTCGCGTGTATACATTTACATTTGACACACGTCGTTTTTTTTAGTATTCACATCAGGAGCGAATTGTGTGTGTTGAGGTACAAACGTTAGTGCCCGGATCCGCCAGTGCTCGGCAGCGACAGATCTACACATCTCGCAGGCGGAGAAAGGAGGCACGTTCCTCTAATGCTGGCGGTGTCTTTCCTCACGGCTGTTACTATGTAGGAAAGCATCCGGGTAGATTGAGATTCACGGCGATGGCCCACAACCGACGACAACACACGCGTTGTCAAGATCTCTATGCCTGGTCTACCCCCACACGCGCACACGGTATGTAGAGAGAGAAAGGAGAGAGCGGAGTATCTGGTTTCAGTCGACACACACACACACACAGCAAGCAGCAGCAGTTGCGAAAAGAGCCAAAAGAGATCGTACAACATGACTTGTTGCTGTCGACGAAGAAAAAAAAGTCAAACTCATCGCTCTGCTACTGCTGTGTAGTTCACCTGATTCGTCCAGCAAGCGGAAGCCTGACCGCAGGAGAGAGCAGCAATCCTCACACGCGCAACCACCAGCAGAAAGATGCAGAACTCTTTCTTTCTCCCGGCCAGATGCTGGTTCCGCGCAGCTCGATGCTCGGTACCAACACCGCCAGAGGGACTACGCAGACTGGAAAACACTAGCGTGGGCATACCTCTACCAAGTGAGGGTACTATGCGCGTGCCCCAGGCCCTGCCTGCCTGCCGACGGCGGCGTACTTGTACTGCGTATTTTAGATACGTCCAGGGTCGCAACGCGCCCTTCACACGTACACAGGGAGAGATGAAGATCATCGATAAAATCCAGCAAGCAATGGAGGCCAAGGAGCCTTTCTATTCGTTCGAGTTTTTCCCGCCCAAGACCTCTGCTGGCGTGGAGAATCTGTGAGAAATGCATGTTTTCGGGAAACGACCAGCGGACAAATGACGGGAAAGTCTCTCCCCCGCCCTCGTTCCCTCTGTCTCTTGATTGCCCCTTGGAGAAGCTGTCGTGCCGTGTAAACACGTTTCCAGCCGTTAACTAGCAGCATCCTCTGTCGTTTTGTAGTAATCCATACGACAGGCAGCAATGGGTGCATGCAATTGTTGCATGCCGCCTGCGGATTTTTGCCGAAAATGACAGTCCCGCCTGGTTGCGCTCGAGGTCAACTGGGTACCTACTTGTACATACCAGCTTCCAGCGACATGACAGCAGTAATGGGTATCGTAACTCAACCGACGCATAGCGTATCTATTCGACGTGCTTGTATCCTCTGTGAGTTGAGAAACTAACGACACACATCTACCCGTTGATGTAGCCAATGAGAACGTTCGCCTGACCGGTCCTCTGGCGGCTGGGGTTGGCTTGACCAGAAGACCAGCCTCCCACGGGGAGACGAGTCGTACATATCGCAAATATCATCGTCACGCTGCGGGCGTTGTCGAGCTAAGCTGCTTGCAGTTATCGTGGCGCGTAGGGGCGGCGGGCCCTGTCGTCCTACATGTACACGGCTTCATGGTGCCCTACGTACTTCGTGCTAGACAACAAGGGCGCACGGTACCCGCCGTTTTTCAGTTTTCGTCCTTTCTGTCAACGCTTCCCCGATCCCGAACAACAAGCATCCGGGAACCTTCTACACGTGTGATTCCCTAGCTTGCCCGTTTGATTGGTGTATTGATGTCTCATTACCTCCCGCAAGTTTAAGTGCAGTGCGTATCGAATACTCCAGCACTATCGTGTGAAAAAGAGACGTGTATGTGACGGCATGCCTTCTCTGCTGCAGTTTTTTGTGGGAAATTCTAACGAAGCAGCACCAACAGCTGTTGGAACACATACCACGCCCTCACCCGCCCCACACGTCTGCCATTAGTATGCGACCTAGTTCTTACTGGGGTATACATAAATGCCACTCTGTTTTCTTGAGAGAGTGTCTATTCATCGTCTGCGCATAGCCCTCTTCGTCGTCGTCTCTGCTGTGTGCGGCTTCCAATCGGTGTCATCGGGCAACCTCATCTCATCGCCCTGACGGGTTGCACGTGTACACACATGCCCCGCAAGTGGGCGATGACCTTCTCATTTGCGAGCTACCTATTCATACATGTGTCACGGCACGTTGTGCCAGGTCTGCCCGGATGGAGAGGATGGCTACGCTGGAGCCTCTCTTCGTCGACGTGACCTGGGGGGCCGGGGGCAGCACCAGCGACCTCACCCTGGCCATCAGCGCGAACGCCCAGAAGTACCTCGGCGTGGAGGTCCTCATGCACCTCACGTGCACCAACCTCAAGGTAAGGTTGACTAGGCAACCGTATGCGGCAGAAGATACCACCCCCCGGACCGATCTTCAAAGCTCGATTGCTTGACAGGACGGGCACAGCAGTGGCGGTGCCGAAAAATTGCGGTGTGGGAACCGTCTCGTAGAGAGAGCTTTCCCAAAACGGCTCGTCGTGGATAGCTCGAGCTTTGAAATTGAAAGTCGGTTCAGGGGGTGTGGTATCTTGCATCACCTACGGTAGGCGGAGAGACGGACAGATCACCCCGTCACACAAGGACCAAAGTACGGTCTTCCTCCTGTTTTTATTTTTTTCGTACATTTCAGAAAAATATCAAACGCATCTCTTGTCCACAGACAGCGAGTCGAGGATCAATTGGGGTAGGGTTGGCGGAGAGACGGACGGATCACCCCGCTACATATAAACCGAAAACATATCTTCTCCCTTTTTTTTTTTGGTGCGTACATATTGCAGATAAAAAAACAAATCCAGAGACCAGTTATCCACAGACAACGAGTCCACGATCAACTGGTAATGCATCCATGGCGTTGTGTGGCCTGGCCTGGTTCCGCTGTTCCCCGAGCGGCATACAGCGATGTATCTCCCCTGAGGGTAACTGCCTCAACAAGACGGCAGTTTATTGGTGGCCATCTTGTTTTTCGGGGCATGGTTTCGATCCGAGGAACGCTTGAGAGTGTTTCGTAAAATCCATCATCTTAGGCCGAGGCAATCCGCAGCAGTCCCCCACGAACACCAAGAACTTGTCTCGCTGTGCGTTATTGAGAGGTCCATCCCCGCTGGAATAGATCGATCCGTCCGTTGGAACATGATGCCGCGCGGGTGGGGTGCCGGTACGCCCGGCTTGGCGTTACGCTTGCCCGCGCTGGGCGTCCGTAGTTCCTCTCTTTACGCCCGTGAAAGACTCGCGGCTGCTGTATGTAGTATCTACCTCTTTTTCGTGATTTCGTGTTGGCTCATTCATACCGTGCTCGTCTCGCTTCTACCGGCTGCGACTGCTGTTTGTCTCCCCCTTTTTTTTTCGTTTCCTCGGTGGGGGTTGCTGGTCGTTGCCGCAACGTCCGCCCGACAACCGAAACGGCACGGATCACACCGATTACCGACCGTTGAACGGCAACTACGAACCGGAAGGTGGAGGAGATCAAGGGGGCGCTCAACAAGGCGCGCGAGGCGGGTATTCAGAACATCCTTGCCCTCCGAGGGGACCCCGCCAAGGGTAAGTAAGACGTGCCGATCTTCGACGTGAGACGGTGTTGCTCGCTAGGTAGCTGCTGCTGCTGCTGCTGCTGCTGCTGTGTTTTATCGGTGGTGGCGAGACCTAACGCTGTTCGGTTGCCCACACAGAACGACCACACACCAAGATGGATGGTGCCGCTATTGTTGCTCTGTTGCTGTTCATGGTGGTTGGTGGTGGTGGTGCTATGGCCGTTTTCGTTGTCACTGGCCTAAGTTGATTGGCTGCCGCTTTTGTTGTTGTCGATGAATGGGGCGGGAGCGAGGGTGATTTGATCGGGATATAGCCAACTCCGCTCGTTCCCGCGCTGATTCAATTATGGCATCCTGGTCCTTCGAGAAAACCGTTCTTGAGGGGGCGGGGGCGGGATCGTGTGGTACGTAGCCATCGTCACAGGATACCTGGTTGGTGGCAGAGGTGCGGCGAACTTGCTGTCTTTTTTCCGAAATCGTTTCGCATATTTGCTTGGCTGTCGGTGTGCCTGGGTTTTACCATCTCGACAAATCCGGTGCCCACCTTCCCAAATCTTTGCCGATATTAGCCATCAGTTTGGTTGCCAAGGCGGTTGCTGCACTCAAGGCCGATTCAACCACCGCCTACCCCCCCGCTAAAGAGAACACACCCAACCGAAAAAAACACCCACATCAGGGCTGGGAAACTGGGAGGCTGCCGAGGGAGGCCTTCGGCACGCGATAGATCTCGTCAGGCTCATACGGGAGGAGCACGGCGACTACTTCGGCGTGGCCGTAGCCGGACACCCGGAGGGGCACGTGGACGGCAGAACAGGAGCGGAGGAGGGCGGGCAAGACGACGACCGGAGGGACGAGGGGTGGGAAGCGTTGGAGTTGAAGCGCCTCAAGGAGAAGGTGGGTGCAGGGCGCACGGGGGGTGGGCCTCACGCTAAGTGTGTGTTTTTGTGTGTGTTTTGTGGGTCTTTTTTTCATCATCTTGGTGCCTTGCCGGCAAGCGAGTGGCGGGGGTGGAGGACGACGCGATTGGGGTTGGGGGGAGGAGAGGGGGCGGGGCGGGTATGAAGGTGGCAAACACGTCAAGGATATGTAGTGGATAGTACAAGCTAACGACCAAGGTTTCGATGTCTCGTAGTTGTTTTTTTTCTCCCGTCAATGAAAGATACCTCATGCTGTGTTCGTAGCTGCCGAAACAAGGCGGGACTCTTTGCTGTGTGAGGGGGCACGAGTAAGGTCTGGAGCCGAAGTGAAGTGCCCCGGGAAGAAGCGGATTCGACTGTTTGTTAAGAGTGGCAGTCGCAAGAGTACGCTGGGTGGCTGCAGACCTCAGTCTTGCCGCACGCCGCATGGATCAGCACGTGCAGCAGGGGGAGCCCGCGTCTTCTCCCTGAAATGCCCCGCTCTTCGCCTCGACGCGCTACATGTGCTGTAGACACGAGTCTCATCATCGGCTCAAATAACTACGTTGTGCTTCCGCGCTCGTGTATGGACGACAAATGTGGCAGGTGGACGCCGGCGCGGATTTCGTGATCACGCAGTTTTTCTACGATACCGAGGCGTTCCTGAGCTACGTGAAGCGCTGCCGAGAGGTGGGGATCACGTGCCCCATCATCCCGGGCATCATGGCCATCCAGGTGCGCGCTTGGCGTCTTGTTTTTGTCTGTCTCGTCCACGACCTGCAGTACGGCCCTGCAGTCAAGAAATATTTCGCCAAGAAACACAGGCTCAGGTTTTCACGAAATATAAGAAAACAGGTGTATGAAACACAGCTCAGCGGTGGATTTCTGTACTAAACTGTACTATAATGCAACAAGCACTCGACGTTGTGTGGCGATGAAATGAGAAAGTGAGCCTGAAATTGATTTTGACATTTCATTCTGCGGGCCCGTACGGTGCAGCGCGCTCGGCATGGTGGACAATCAGTTCGTGCTAGGTAGATTTTGCTTCTAGCGCAGTGCAAATGGAGCTGAGATACCTCCGCAGCCCACGCGCACCCACGTGCCATTACAAGTTCGTGTTTTTTTTGTGGCTACGCACTTGGATGCATGCATGGAAAGATGAGCTGTATCACTAGCTAGGCCCGTTTCCCATTGTGCTCGCGTTGCTTTTGGAAGTCGGCTTTAAGCGCGAGGAGCATTATTAGGCATAATACGCCAAATTGGCCAAAACACGAGCATACATACCGACAGAAAATGGAATCATTTTCGAGCATAACTGGAAACTATACATGCTTCAAGGATATCATATGTTCAACTTGTGAAAGGAGCATCGAAAAAGGAAAAAACAAATAGCATAAGTGGGGAATGGCGTATCCATCACTACACGTCTTAGCACTGAGCCCCCCCGCGCCCCTCCCACTCTCTTCCGCGGCGCCCCATCCGTGCAGAACTACAACGCGTTCGCCCGCATGACCGACTTCTGCGAGACCCGCGTGCCCTCCGACGTGCGGGAGGCGCTGAAGCCAATCACGAGCGACGACGATGCCGTGAAGGACTACGGTGTAGACCTCGGCATCCGCATGTGCAAGGCGCTGACGGAGGCGGGCACTCCCGGTGAGTTCGTTCGTCTCGCAGCAGCAAACGTAGTATCTACCTGTGGCGGCGGCGACTGGCTGTGTTGTTTGCTTTGTGATTTGGGGGTATTTCTTTATTGGCCGCGGAACACACGGGTAGGGGTGGTGCTGAAGCGGGTAGGTTGCGGCGGAAACTGATGCTTAACCCCTTGGCTGTTGATGTGGAGGGTGGTACGTAGGTTCGACATGCCGATGCCTTTGCCGCACAGCAACGGCAACTCTTTGCTGCTCGTGTGATTGAAAGGGCTGCAGCACCAGCAGCCACAGCGCCGGCCGATCAGCACACCGCTTGAAGCGGTATTAGGCGTTGTTAAAAGGTAGCGGTGGTTATAGTCCGTGTAGGATGACTTCTGTACCTCGATCCATCTCGGCGTGAATGTCGGATTTGTCTCGGTTGCGCCATCCCCCGCTATGAGCTTTGGGTTTTCTGCGAGGAGATCGCCGTTGCGGTATATTTTCCGTCCTGCACGACACGATGGTTTCACCGACATCTCCTCCTGAAAAACTCTCTACGCGAGCTACCCTGGTGCACGCACAACGGCGGACACGTGCCCATTCAACCCCCCCCCCCCCCCCCTCTCCCCGGTCTTCGGTGTTTGCCATCGGGGTTGGGTTTTCGTCGCTTGGCAACGACGTTGTAAAAAAAGCCAGTTCACTTCGTGAACTCGGCAACCAGGTTAATGCTTTTTTTTTGCCTTTGGTTTCTTTTTGCTTTTGCGGTAACCATAATGACGGTCGAGTAGATTATGTTGTGCGGGATCGAGAACCCTCACTCCGCGCAAAAGGGGATGATCGCACCACGTTGTGTTAAATTGGTCAAGCATCCTCGAGGCAGTTACACAGTGCTTACAACTGTCTCTGGAAGTGAAAGCACCAGAAAATAAATTAAGTCATACGCAGCTGTCATCCGTACGCAAGGCAGTAAGCACAAGATGCCGAACACCCTTAGCAGGATGCAGCGCATCCTTCATGCGACTCGGCGAATACCTCACGGCGCTTCGCGCTTGGTGACGTGAGAGCCTGGCCCGGTGAGAACCCGGCGTGCTCCGTCCCGGCTTTGTAGGGATGCGAGGTCAATGGTCTAACGACTACGGCATGCACGACTATGAGTACACCCCCCAGTTCCTGTACTGGGGAATAGGAAGTGGGTTGAAAAGGCAGGAAGTGATATATAGGTAGGATAGATAGACTAGGGAAGGCATTTTGGAGGCACCTCTGGCAAAGCAGGAAGGAAGGATTGGCCATCAGTGATCGGTCCTGTGGGAACAATCCTCCGTCCTCTCGAGGACGCGTGATGAATGGTCTAACCGCTAAGGTATGCAAAACATCAGAGTCCCCCCCCCCCCCGTTCCTCATATCACTCCGTCCCGGCATTGTAGGGATGCGAGGCCAGTGGTCCAACAACTTCGGCATGCGTTTTCGTGAGTACCCTCCCCCCCGCACTGTTCCTATCACGCGTGTGCTGGTAGGCTTGCATTTCTACACGCTGAACTTGGAGCGATCGGTGCGACTTATCCTGGACGGGTTGAGGTATACGGAGACGGCGGCGACGCGGCGCATGTATCCCTGGAGAGCGTCGGCGCTGTCGAAGCGGGCGGCGGAGGACGTCAGGTTTGTGCCGCTGCCGCCTGGTGTAATCCCAACATCAGTGGGTGCGGTAAACCGCTGCCACTGTTTTTCTGCTCTCTGTTGCGCCACGTCTTTGTTGTTCTACGCTTGTTTTTTAGAGAATATACAATCATACAGTGAAAGAAAGACTACCCGTTCGAGATATAACTACAGCCAAAGGGGGTGGTGTTTGCCGCAGACGCGAGGGGTTGGTGGGCAGAAGTCCGTGCGGCTGTTGGGGCACCGGGCGTGAAAGATTTTCGGGTCGGGCACTTGCGTATTTGCTAGTGGTTGGAGATTTCGGAGGATGCCGTTGCCTTTCATGAGGTCGAAACAGAAATGTGGTGGGGATTAACTCTTGTTGGTGAATTCTGGTCTTTGGCGCTTTTCTCTGCCGTCGTGTCGTCATCACCGCCGGTGCCGCCCAAAGTATTGGGCTCGTGCGCTCTCCATTTGCATGATTTTTGTTTTTTGTGTTGCTCCACAGAGCTCACCGACGGTTGCTTGTTGCTCTTCTGCTGCTGCTGTTGCTGGTGTCGTTGGTAGCGGTGGTGGTGTTGATATTTTGCTGCTGCTAAGGGGTGTTGCCGTGGTGGTGCCTGTTGTTTGCTGCCGCCGCTGCTGCGGTAGTTGATGTTGTGTTGTTTACGACAACTGATCTTCTTCTTGTCCGATCGTTTGACACAACGATAGACCCATCAACTGGGCGAACCGGCCGCGGAGCTACCTGGCACGCACGGAGGTCTGGGACGAGTACCCCAACGGGAGATGGGGGGATGGCAGGTACACATGAAGCCCGCAACACCGCTCATATCGACAATGGTCGACATGCTCGCGACTTGAGACTCCCTGTATCATCGCGTCCCTTTCGCTACACCGTGTTATGCCGCCAGTTGCCTCTAGCGGCATCATGTATGATGGGTACCAGAGGTATGTAGGCGTGTACGATACCACGCTGGGCAGGTGTTCGGCTTGGCGTTGCCGCGGCTCACTCCAACACAAGAATCATGGTCGAGTATTGTCTTGCTTGGCTCTATTTTCGATGAATGTAGAGGCAGGAGGGTCATTCTCTGCCGTGCTGCGGATGTCGTGTTGATATTGGTCCTTCGCTTGTTCGCTGTCTAAAGTTTTCACCTCCTTGGTCGCCGCCTCCGTCGTCATTGCTGGTAGTGCCTCTCAAGGTTGTTCTAGTTCTCGTCAAGTCTTTTGTCGCGCCCGCCGTTCACAACGCCTGCTTGTGTATCGCGCTTTTCGCATGCTGCCAACGACCCATGTGAATAGTAATGTTTTCCCTCTCCCTCCTTCCGCTTTGCTTGCTTCCTCCCCGCCCTTAACCACCTTTCACGCTGTGTGTCGCTATCAGGAGCCCTGCGTTCGGAGAGCTCAGCGACACCCACTTCTTCCGTCCCCTGGTGGGCAGCCGGGAGGACCGCAAGGCCATGTGGGGGGAGGCGCCGATCGTCCCGGGGGAGATCTTCGAGACCTTCGCCTCCTACATCGAAGGAAAGATCCCGAAGCTGGTGAGAAAGAATATAATCGCCGGTTCTTCCTTCCCCGTGCGTGCGCCTGTAATACATATGTCTGTGCCTAAATGCAGTGTCGACTGCCCGCGAGAACCCGCTCGCAGCGAGTGGCACCCTGAGAGCGCAAGACTATTGTAGATGCTTGGTCTCCCAAGGCCCACGCTGGAAGATAGCTCAACGCCTTGCGTTGGCGGCGCTCGTTTCTTTTTCTTGAGAGGGGGGGGCATGTGCACGAGACGTGTTGTAGCTGGGGTATGGCACTCACCATCGGCCGAAGTGCCACCAGGCTTCGCCTCACCAACCAGACCAGACCACGCGGGGGTTGTCACGTGCTTCGGGTGCTTTTTTCTCAACAACCAAAAGGTGGTGGAGTGTACGTATGCCGTATCTGCTACATGTGCCGACAGCATGAAAATTAAACGGCTGATTTTGGTCTGGTTGATTGCTGAGTTGCTGTTCTGAGTTGCTGTTCTGGGGTTTGATTGGATGAAGGGTAAATTGGATGAAGACTTGGGGGTGTAATCCCGCTTCCCCACATTCGCCTGCTTCCGCACGCCCGCATTCCCCGTTTGTCTCGAGGAAGCCGTGGTGCGAGGTTAGCCTGCAGCAGGAGTCCAGCACGATCGGGAAGGAGCTGGCGGTGATAAACCGCAGAGGTTTCCTCACCATCAACAGCCAGGTGTGATTGGTGAAGGTGAAGAGCTGCGAAAGACGTCGGGGGCGAGGGGGGGGGGGGGGTGTACTCATAGTCGTGCATGCCGTAGTCGTTCGACCATTGACCTCGCATCCCTACAAAGCCGGGACGGAGCACGCCGGGTTCTCACCGGACCAGGCTCTCACATCACCAAGCGCGAAGAGCCATGAGGTATTCGGCGAGTCGCATGAAGGATGCGCTGCATCGCATCTGCTAAGGGTGTTCGGCATCTATTGCTTACTGCCTTGCGTACGGATGACAGCTGCGTATGACTTACTTTATTTTCTGGTGCATTCACTTCCTGAGAGAGTTGGAAGCACTGCTGTGTAACTGCCTCCAGGATGCTTGACCAATTCAACACAACGTGGTGCGATCATCCCCCTTTGCGCGGAGTGAGGGTTCTCGACCCCGCACAACATAATCGACTCGACCACCATTCACAGTTACCTAAAAAAAAACACAGAGGTGAAAAAAAACACGGTACCCTGGTTGTTGAGCTCACGAAGTGATTGTCTTTTTTTACAACGTCGTTGCCAAGCGACGAAAACCCAACCCCGATGGCAAACACCGAGGGGGGCGTTTGTTTCACAACGTCTTTGCCAAGCGACGATAACCCAACCCCGATGGCAAACACCGGGGGGGGCAGCTTGTTTTACAACGTCGTTGCCATGTGACGAAAACCCAACCCCGATGGCGGGGGGGGGGCGTATCTTTAGCTGTGTTTGCAGAGGCGAGCCAACCATAAAATGCTTGCCGACATCACCAGCAAACAGGCGCTGATGGGAGAGAGAGCGCGGGTCGTTAGAGTGGTATCCATCGACCGACCCCCCAGAGACTTTCTACGCCATCGTCAAGAGCACGGTTAGTGCATGCGACTTGTTTTTGTTGGGGGGTAACTGCCGACAACCCTCACAGTCGATAGTTCTGAAGACCTGATTCTTGCGCGTACTCACCTTTTTTTAACCTTGTGGGATGTATCCGATTCCATTCCTTATTCCCCCCCCCCTCTGGCCTTCATCCTCACTTCTTCTTCCCCCGGCCTCCACGCCTTGCGTTATCTCCTCGTACGCTTGTTGTTTTTTTCTTGACGTTCTTCTTGGTTTCGCCGCGAACGCGAAGCCGGCTGTAAACGCAGCGCCGAGCGACCACCCTGTGTTCGGGTGGGGCGGGGCAGGGGGTCGGGTCTACCAAAAGGCTTACGTGGAGTTCTTCACGTCGGAGGCGTTGTTGGATGAGGTTCTGGAGGCGTGCGCGTCTCGGCCGGAGCTGAACTACTACGCGGTAGGCTGGTTGTTGTTGTTGTTGTTGTTGTTGTTGTTTTGACGTTCGTTCCCGTTCGTCGGAAGACAGTAATGCATCTCGCACTACTTGCTGACACCTAACAAATTCCTTTCGGCTCTGGTAGGTATCCATCCGCTGTTTTTCGTTTCTTCCGACCGGACAAAACTTGTATAGAATATCGCTGATCGCAGAACACCGGAACAAGATGATGTCGGATTTCATAGGAAGGCCGAAAGAACTGCAGTGACCCACTTGATTTGTTTGTGCAGCGGGATAGCGAAGAGAGGCCCCGGAATATCGGAGAGTCCCCCCTCCCTCTTGCTTCTGTTTTTTTTCTCTGCCTCTCTTGCTGTTTCAGGTGGAATCAACCCCCGAAATAGTCATTCCACTAGTTAACGTATTTTATCCCATCATTATACACTTGAATTATTTTTTTGCGGCAACCCGCAAGCGAATCGATTAATCTTACTGACGTTTCTCGTTCACCTCTGTCACACCTACCCCGTCGGAAGTAGTTGGCACCGTTCTCGCCGCAGCGTGTGCTGTTTTCACAGTTACAAGCCCGTTCTCTCCGTCATTGTCTGCTTCTTCTTCCGTTGTGGTGCCAAACATCAATCAATCTGAAGGTTGACGTCAAGGGGCGCACTCGATCAAGGGGGGTCAAGGGCACCACGGCGCTGTCATGGGGCGTGTTCCCCAACCGGGAGGTGCAGCAGCCGACTGTCTTCGACCCGGAAACGTACATGGTGAGAGGTTGGTTCCGGCTTGTGCGGGTCGACTGAAGTGGACGTGTGTTGTGTACGCGCCACGCTATGTTGTCTCGTTCTGGTGTTGATTGGCTCTTGTCCTGGCGCTCTTGCGTTTTCTTTTCTGGCTCATATGTTGGTATCTTGGTCGCTCACGTTCTCGTCGGAGCGTTTTGTACTTTGAACGTTCGCCTACTGCTACTGTGTTTGTGTACCACGGATGATGGTGTGTAAAAATGGGCCAAGCGTTTCGGCTGTGAGAGTTTTAGCCGTGTACGGTTACGCGCGACGGGTTGCTTGCTTTTTTTCTAGTTCCGCCTCTGGTGGTGCCGAGTCTATCGCTCCGAGGCTCCGCCACCAGCACCAGCACCAGCAGCAGCAGCAGCAGCAGCAGTATATTTGTATGGTCACTATGACGTTAAACGTGCGCTCGCTGTTGGGTGTAACTCTGTGTGTGGCCCGGATGTTTGTGTGTTTCCATATTTGGCGTCCACCGCGCTAACCGGCTAACCCATGAAAAGACGCCAGTCTTGTAGCGGGATTTTGAAACACGAACACTTTTTTGGATGTTTGTTCGCGTGTGTGCTGTGCCAGGTGTGGAAGGGGGAGGCGTTCCGGCTGTGGGTGGACCTGTGGGCGTCTCTCTACGACGATGAGTCCAAGAGCGCGGAGCTGCTGCACGACATTCACGACTCGTACTACCTCGTGGCCGTGGTGGACAACAACTTCATCGACGGCAACCTCTGGGAGGTAAAGATAACGCTGGCTGCAGCAGTGGCGGGTCCGGGTTTAGCGGCCTCCTAGGTAGTGTTCCTGAGGAAATCTGGTTGCCATTGAGGTCGGGTCGCTACTGCGGGTGTGGCGGGGTGCGCAGGTGCCACGCGATGTTGTGGTAGCAATTCAGGGTATCTCGCTAAGCAGGGGGTCGCTAAATTGCCCCCAACCCTGCTCATGCTCCTTTTGACCCCCTTCCCGAGTGCGATCCTGATTGTGCTCGTGAGTGGTTCGGTACACCCACGCGGCTCATGGGGCAATTGTTGCAACCCCGCCAAAGAAAGAGGAACTATTTTTTCACACCCGAAATGGCAGCTGCGTAAGCATGCATATAGAGACTCCATCGAAGGCACGGGTCGACCTCTGTATGAATCCAGAATCTCACGTGCGATTTTCGTGCCGTGTCCTTGTAGTTTGTGGATTTTGCGCGGCAACAGTGACGCACGGGCACAGAAGCGTGCAACCTGCATCATTTTGTATGTTGGTAAGATGTCACCTTCTTTCTATCGATCCATGATCCAACGGCACCAAATCCGTCTCGGTCCTAGTCAATCCTCCGTTGCCTCGACCCATCTGTCTCCCCCCTGCCCTCCTCGCCTATGCAGATTTTCTCCCAAGGCACGCAACCTGGTGCTTCAGCGGAGACGGGAAGCTCTACTTCCATCTAGCGTTTTCTGACTAATTGCCGCGACTCCGTAAGCTCTCCCAAGCTGGGTTCGTGATCAGCAGCTCAAACCCTAGGACAATGACTAGATAAGTTGTCTTGTTTGTTTTTTCAGGACGGTGTCTGCAGCCTTGATTTTGCGATTTTGTGTGCTTGCGGGTAGTGTGACTAACTGTGGCCCCCGCTGGTATTAGGTGGTAGCATAGCTTTATCCAGTGGTCGAAAAATCCCCCGATTTATTTGATGTCAGGGCGGTAAGGGATGGTTTGTGCAAGATAGCCGACGGGCGTAGCTGATTATTGTGCATGCCCCATGATTTCGTCCCAATACCTCGGGGTTGGACTCTGGCATCTTCGTTGCGCCAAAGAGGAAAAGAGCCAACCGGCCTCGCGCACGCACCAATAGGTTGGCGAGTCGAATATCACGTGCCCGTCCCACTTCGGGTCCCACTTACGACAGAACAAGTAAGGATTGTACTCTTCTCTTTCTAGCTGTAGAGTGACTCCCAAGGTAGTCTGGTCGGTTGTCCCGTTGGGAGTGCGCCCCTTGATTGGTACCAGTTGTTTTTTTTTTCAGGGAGGATTGTCGTTTCTGGCATGCCGCGTTCAAATTTGTCATTTTTCTGAGGAACTGGCGCAACCACATATGGGGTGGGGTCGCATTTGCGGTAATACAAGTGTTTCACATCCCAACGCGCAATTTTAACCGCTGTCGTAGGTGTTTTCTGATCAACATTCTCATGAGCCGTTTGACTGTCGGGTGATGACCTTGCCCAAGGAAACCACGGCTGCTGGAAACTGGAAAGCGTTTGCGTGGCCCCTTCGCCACCATAGGGTTATCAAGCGCCCCCCACGTCCCTCCTATGAGAGCAGAACGGGACTGAAATTCGACAACAGACACGCCTTTCAAGAATAGGAGGCTCAAGTTTTGACAAGATCACCGCGGCATCATCAAGGGCACACAATGAATGATAGTTGCCGACCGTTTCGGCCAACCTGCGCTTTGTGTACCGTCCTCAAAGGCCACCTAAATCGTCCTGGTGGGCCAGGGTTGGAGAGGTGAACACACATGTAGGCCCGTCAGTCAAACATCTGGGATCCGCGAGGGCGCGAACATGTTCGATCGTTTCGCAGAGTAAATGGTGCAATGTGTGGGCATACAGTACGTCGTCAAGATCGACCCTTACACTTGAGTCAGGCGACACACATACACCTCCAACGCGTGATACAAACGCGGTGAAAATATGAAGCTTGAGACCACTCCAGGACCCCAGGCAACTGAACCGCCACACCTCTAAGATGGTACTACTGTACCGCCTCACAGATCTTTGTACATAGTTATCCCGTTCCACAACATTGTCTGCTGGTCGGGCGGAACCAATTCAATTATTGTCCGTTTCACAATACAAAGGGTCAAGATTTTGTTCGAACTACCTACGACGATAGACCACCTCCTTCGTAGACTATTATTATTGTTGTACACATCTTTCTCACGTGTTTCTCTAGCACGGCCGACCTCCATTCGCGTGGCCGCGCTCAGTTCACAGCGGAGCCTCCAACGTTTACACAACGAACCCCACGTTGATATGCAGCAAAGAATGCCGTCACCATTGACACCACATCCATCCGCTCTGGAAGTGTGACAGGATCAACCTCGACGGACACGACAAGGAAGGGTCAGATACTTAGGCGATACACCAAGGTAAGGCTGTGATCTCCGTACCATTCTTAGACTACGGAACATTCGACTTGATTCGATTTGATTCGATTTTGAGCCCCACTTCGAGTTGTGTATGAGCGACGGAGTGAACATGAATGTATTTATGTGCTTCGGCTGCTATCATTCATTCTTTGAGTTCAGGCGCTACGCCTCAAACCGTGTATGCATGCATAGATGGATGCGTTTCCGGTGCATGGCTTGTCACTCATCACCTGTGTACTTATTGGTTGCGACAGTGCTAACAGCGGTACCAATGAAAATTATGTCGGTCAATGCCAACGGGTAAACTCAAGGTCCCTGGAACAGGGCGACAATATCGAAAATGGCAACCAAGGGCGCGCGCGTGTGTGAAAGTTCCCCTAGAGCCCTGCGAAGACTTGAAAGCGTGAGCTAGGATTTGAATACACCATATATGTGCGACGAGTTAAAATTTCAAATCGCCAAATCATTGACATGATGATTCCACTACAATAGCACTCATACCGTATCTCATGTATGTGTGAACTTCTTGTACACATACTCTTTCCGCTCCTTGGACATGGTTGCCAGATGATGAGATCGCCTCAGGGGAGCAAGCGCGAGGTAGGTACGTATAGACTAGCTCGAGACACGGATGTCTACAAACACGACGGAGACGCAAGCATCGCAAGCAGATCAGCTGGTACACTAAAGAAGAAAGATTAGAGTTGAGGTAGCATAGCAGGGTCGCTTGCCGCCAGATCCTTGCCACATTTGTGGCGTGCCTGGTGGCAGGGGCAAAAAAGTTGGCGGGTTCGACGCGGCATCACCCATTCCGCTTCGGTATAAATCTTTTTGCACAAATAACACACACAGTGAGCTCACGGGAGCGTCGCGCGCGATGCTCATCCCCCTTCCTTCTACAGCAGTACCCGCCATTCCGCCGTAGTTAACGAAGAAGGTGAACAAGAGCTGGGCCAGATAGCCGTCCCTACCCACGGCTTGGTCGCCAATCAACGAGGCTGCGAGGGAGGTAGGCCGCCAAGACGATGGTACAAGGCTGCTGCGTTGCTCTGCTATAATCTAGTTTATGTTCCTCGACTCCCGAGCCAAAACATCGCCGCCGCTGGCACTCCAAATATCTTGGATTCCAAGGTTTTTATTTTCGTTGTCTCCCACGGAGACACGGAGATTCTCTGTCGTGCGTGCGCTGAACTGGTGTTGCCTTCGGTGATGGCGAGAAGTAATTCAATCATTTTAGCTGCGAAGCTGCAACAAAGCGTTCGAACTTCGAAACTTTGAAATGTTGAAGCCAACATGCTGCTGTTGTTGATGTTTCGTGTCCATGACACAGATGTATCGTGTCCACACCTGCTGGGCTGACCGCTGGCCAGCGGACAATCGATCGAGCCGGAGCGTCGTTCTTTCAAAATTCCTTGCTGTGGGGGTTTCGCCCAGAGCCGAGATTTTCCTCTGTCTGCTGTCTCTTGCAAAGGAAGGCAGAGAGAAGGACCAAGACAGAAAGTTCGTCCGCGTCTCTCTCTACCCACTATCAACTACAATAATCATGGCCTTTTTATTTTTCATGGTTTCTTTTTTTCTGGCGAAAATGCCGCTTCCTCCTCATCTCCCCCGCCCCCTTACTCCTCCTCGCACTACAGCAGTTTCTGTCTGGTGTGTTGCTGTGCTGAGAGGGTTGCGCGAGGCAGGTGGGTACACAGATAGACTACAGCAGTAGACGGTACATGCGGCACAGATGGGAAACTCACCGTATGGACTACATACGCATGCTGCTGTTCGTTGCTCATGCTCTGAAGGGTCGCCTCCCTCCGTCCGTGTGATGATGTGATGATGTGACCTGCCCGACCGGCTTGGTTCCTCCCCGCTTCTCAACCGGAAAGATTTCCTTCCCCCGTCTCTTTCGGTGTGTGCGAATTAGTATGCAGAGATAGGCAAGGGAGAGGGAGAGAGAGAGAGACAATGAGGGAGGAGGGGGGAGCAAAGATGGGGGGGGGAGGCTACTTAGTCCGAGACTGGCCCTGTTGGCACCTAACGGTGGGCCGGGGCGCGCTTGCCATGCCAGCACCAAGCTGTGCAAAGAATACATCCGTTGCGGGGGGCGACCGCTAGAGGACATCAAGCCCAGTCGGCCACACAGCTCGCGGACCCCGAGTCGAGTAGCCACAGAACCGGCCGAGGCAGTACAACAAACGCGTCGACCCGAGAAAGACACGTCGAGAGTGCCGCCGCTTCTCGGGAAAAGCGTCGTGTGGGGTCTCAGCGTTGACGAGATGCGGAATTGAGAGCACGCACTGTCGCGAGTAACGTCCCTCGAGCTAGGTACGGACGAGTACCCCATCGGTGACAACGGCTTCAACGAGGCACTCAATAGCAGCATCGTATGGCCGTCCACCCTTGAGATTCTGAAGTTTGGCAGTGATTTTGATCAGAGACGGGAGGGAATCACCTGGCCTTCTTGGCCAACAAATTCGGGTTTTCCTTCATGAGATCGATTACGGTAGCGACATGGCCAGACCACCTCCAGCACCTGTCCTTCACGGGATGGTTCAACGAACCGCTCGCCGAGGTTGAGTGGCCCAAGTCACTCCCACACCTGTCGTTTGGCAAAACATTTGATCAGCGCATCTATGGACGAGTTTTGCCTGACTCCCTCGAGCACCTATCGTTTGGGACGTTTTTCAACAAGCCAATCAGTGGAACTGTCTGACCGGCCTCCCTTTTGCGGCCTACTTTTGGATCAAGTTTCAACCAGCCCGTTTTCGGGGTAGTATGGCCTGGCAAACTGAAAGCGCCGGCAAGTTGTTCGGGCAGGATTCGCGCGGGGTCGTGTGGCCAAGGGGCCTGGAAACGTTGGGCCTTGGCGGGTTCCGCGGGTCCTTTGACGATATTTCATGGCCAACGTCTCTGACACACCTGTCAATCCGCGGTTATTTGAAAATTCCCCTCGATCCAACACTTTTTTCCGCCAGCCTGCAGCAGCTATCGCTTGGGAACAGGTTTAATCAGTCGATCACAAACGTTGATTGGCCAGCCTCCCTTTTGCGGCTTGCTTTTGGCAAAAAGTTTAGCCAGCCCGTTGTTGGCACACGATGGCCTACCCACCTGCAAGAACTGTCGTTTGGCGCGGCCTTCAAATGGGAATTGAGCGGGATCGTGTGGCCAACTGGCCTCCAAAGCTTGGATCTCGGAGGCTACGACAAGTCTATTGCCGGGATTTCGTGGCCCGATTCCTTGAGGAAGATTCACTTCCAGCCCGGGTTCAGCAAGGACTTGACAAAGGTCAAGTGGCCAGCCTCAGCGAACGTCTGGCGGGGTCTCGACCTCCTCGCCATTGAGCGGTGAACGGCAAGCATCGCGTATGCTTCTCCCTGGGTGGGACACAGTCGTTCG